TAGTACTGGATACATATAAGCATATCATCTATCTCCTGGCTTCCACTTGAGCTGCATCAGGGCTCTGGTATGTGGACGCACAAACCCTCGTGCTTAACACCAGGGGGCGTGTGGTTACCCTGCACCAGACCCTGTTTGTCCATTTCCATGCTGAGACACCCATCATCATCAGACACACAGGGGTCCCGGTCTTTGGACCGGCACCCGAGACAAGATGTTACTTTTCAGTATTTCATAAAGATATAACCTTTAGGGAATACTGATTAAGACTTCACTATAATTTCACTGAAATGCTATCGAGATCCAAAGTTATAAGACAGAGTAGGGATTACTTTTGTCTTATGGCACAGAGTTTGACAAAGTGCTGTACTTTAAAGGGTCAATCAAGACCCCTAACACATCTTTTTTACATTTTTGCAAAAAGTGCAGATTCAAATAGACACTTTTATGAACTAACCTGGTTACACCCCCTTGGCTTTCAAGCAGACAACAGATGATATTACTTCCTGGTTTCGTTAGCTCAATGCAGCTGACTTCCAGCAGCAGCAATTGCCCAGAGCACCTGACTTACAAAGACTTCTCATTGAGATGTTTTGGAAAGTCTGTGATTGGACAGTAACAAAGTCTGGGCAGAGTTAGGAGGAGAGGGATTGCAAAGTCAGCAGACAAAAAAACTGCAGGTTTTGCAAGCTGATTTTGGATGTATCCCCAATGAGAAAATACATAATTAACCCCTTAGTAACCAGACCACTTTTCAATTTTCTTACCGTTTGGGACCAGGGCTGTTTTAACATTTCTGCAGTGTTTGTGTTTAGCTGTAATTTTCCCCTTACTCATTTACTGTACCCAGACATATTATATACCGTTTTTCTCGACATTAAATGGTTTTTCTAAAGACATCATTAGTTTCATCATATCATATAATTTACTATAAATTTTTTTTATAAAATACGATGAAAAAAATGAATAAAATAACCAACACTTTTTCTAACTTTGACCCCCAAAATCTATTTCACATCTAGGAAAACACCCGTGATAAGTAGAAACACCCAATGTTAACACGTTCTTAGCTTGTTTTGCAAGTTATAGGGAAATAAGTAAACGTAGCACTTTACTAGTTCAGAACCATTTTTAACCAAAATTAACGCAAGTTACATTGGAACACTGATATCTGTCAGGAATCCCTGAATATCCCTTCACATGTATATATTTTTTAAAAGAAGACAACCTAAGGTATTAAACTTAGGGTATTTTGAACTTTTTCATGCCACCATTTTACCACCAGTCTATGCCAAATTTAAAAAGAAAATAATTGATGATTTTTTGACACGCATAGCAATTTAAGAATACATATACTGAGAACTTTAAGGATTACTGCCAAAGTACACCCCAATATGTGTTCAGCAATATCTCCTGAGCACAGTGATACCACCCATGTATAGGTGTGTCGGGTTCTCTGGGGGGTAAAAGACCTTATTTGGAGGGTGCGCATTCCAGTTTTCCAACGTGGAATTTTCACAGCTGGTTATCATGCACCCATGACCTATTTGGGAATTTTTTTAAGCCGACCAATGTAATTTTCCCCCATCAAACTATAGATTTTTGAAAAGTAGACACCCTAGGGCAGGGGTAGGCAACCTTTTAGCAGCACTGTGCCGATATAGGATTGATATGTCCCATAGCGTGCCGATCCTATCTTTTATTTTAAATTGAGGTGTGTATGTTGCCGTATTCTACTTGTGTTATTTATACTGTAATTGCTTGTATCATTTTATTTGTTCGTATATGAGCTATTAGATTGAATATGTTCATTAGTAGTTTATGGTATCATGTATGATACATATAAATGTGGGCTGTGTATGATGGCTGCTTGTGGAATGGTGTGTGGATGGATATGTCACATTGTGTGTTTGGTAGTGTGTGTGGGCTGTTTGGGGTATTGCATGTGAGAGGCTGAATGTGGGGTTGTGTGCATGTATGTGGATTGTTAGCGGGTTACGTTTGTGCGGATTGTGTGTATGTTTGTGAGTGAGCTGTTCATATTATTTGTATGAGGGGAGGGTTATTCTGCATTTCTGTGTATATCTAGCACTGTGGGTGGCTTCCCTGGGTTCCAGTGGGGACCAGGCTGGCCAGGTACAGGTGAAAGACAGCAGGCTGCTCTACTACAGTGTGGATTCCCATTCACAAGTGCTGGGAGGAAGTGATCTGAGATCACTTCCTCTATGTGCTGTAATGCATAAATTGAGGATTGTCCTTCACCACCTTTTCATATTAGCAGATATCTTAAGTTTTACTGGGACTTCTGATAGGCCAGAGTCTGTTTGGCTCTAGCAGCCTTGAGTGCTGTGAAAAGACACCTTGAGTGCCATGCATGGCACTAGTGCCTACCCCTGCCCTAGGGTATTTCAAATGGTGGTATTTTAACACTTTCCATGCACTAATTCTACCACCAGACTTTGTCAAACTTTTGGGTAGTCTTTGTTTGTGTTATTTTTCTCTCACATTGTACTTTAGGCATGGATTCTCAGCTCCTCTTATGGGTTACTGTCTGACAAAGAACACCCCAGTATGTGTTCAGCAACATCTCCTGAGTACAACTGTGCCCCCACTGTACAGGTTTTATGGATTTTTGCAAAGTTACAGGGGTCAAATGTAGGGCTTTTCCATGTTTTCACATTGAAATATGCCAGATTGTTTGCTGGACCAATGTTGCCTGTGAGACTGTATGGCAGCCCAAGAATAAAAATTAACCCCATCATGGCATACCATTTGTAAAAGTAGACAACCCACGATATTCAAAATGGTTTGTCCAGTGTCTTTTTTAGTAGCCACTTAGTCACAAACCCTGGCCAAAATTAGCATTTATATTTTTTGTGTTTTTCACACAAACTGCCATTTCACCGTTGATATCAGTATAGTACATTTTACTGCTCCAAAACACTCATTTGTGTAATGTCTCACGAGTACCCCTCAAGTACAGATTTTATGGTGATTTGGAAAATTACAGGGTCAAACATAAGATTTGCCAATTTCTGGTTTTGTAAATTGTTTTTGCCAGATTGGCTCTTGCATTTGAGACGGAATGGCAGCCCCCGAATGTGAAATAACCCCATCATGTCATACCATTTTCAAATGGGACAACTCAAGGTATTCAAAAATGGGGTATTTCCAGTGTTTTCTAATAGTCACTTAGTCACAAAAACGCTAACTTTAGCCAGCGTTTGTTTTTTGCTTTTTTTTTTTTTTAAAAACAAAAATCTACTTTTACGTATTTCATTGTCGTGATAGGTTTTAAACACTCGTTTGTTTTGAGCAAAGTCTCCTGAGTATAATAATACCCCCATGTAACGGTTTTATGGTATTTGGAATGTTACAGGGTCAATATAGGGCTTGCCCAATTCAGTTTGCCAGATTGGTTTGCTGGGTCTGTGTTGCCTTTTGAGACCATATGGTAGTCCAGGAACGTGAAATTACCCCCATCATGGCATACCGTTAGACAACCCAGGGTATTCAATGGCCACTTAGTCACAAACGCTGGCCAAAAATAGCATTTTTGAGATAGAGAGATATACACACACACACACACACGATACTTGAAAAAATTAGAATAGAGTTCATTTATTTCAGTAATGCAACGTAAAAGGGGAAACTAATATATGAGATAGACGCATTACATGCAAAGCAAGATAGTTCAAGCCGTGATTTGTCGTAAGTGCAATGATTATGGCTTACAGCTCATCAAAACCCCCAACCCCCAACCGTGATCGCTGCGGACGTCCTTAACCAATTTTTGTTGGCCGTACCTAGTACGTCCGCGGTCATTAAGGGGATATGCATGTAGAACCTCATTCTAAATGTATTTTGAAATAAATATATGTACAGTGGGACCTTGGTTTACAAACGCCTCGGTTAACATAATTTTCGGTTTACAAATCAAAATCCATTGAAAATAATGCCTTGATTTCCAATTTTTTTTCGCAATACAAAGCAAGTTTTCCCAGGATGCATTGCACCTGAGAGGTTTATAGCAGTGTGGAGGTGCATTTCTCAAGCTGTGGAAAGGTAGGGAGCTGAGCTTTGTCTTTTGCATGCCTTTTATTGTGTGTTCTGCATTGTGGGTTGGTTTCCATGCCAGTTCATTTTGACTTTTTTCTGACTTCCAGAACGGATTAATTGGTTTTCAATGCATTCCTATGGGAAACCGCGTTTCGGTTTACAAATGTTTCGCAATAAGCAACGTCCCAGGCTGGGCGGAGCTAAGCGTCTGAACGGAATGGCCGACAATTATCAGAGCTCCTGCAAAAGACACAAAATCCACGGTCCCACAGTACCATCCACAGGTGAAAAACTTCACTATAGACACCTCTCGAGTGCAAGTCAAATTCCAATGCCGTTTCTGTTCCCACGAACAGGCAAGAAAACCCAGCGGAGAAGCAAGGCCTACCATAATTTCCACAGCGGGTGGCCCGCGATGGCGCTATTACCCTGGACTACCGACACACAAGGTACAGCCCTGCACAAACCCTCTAGCTGGGAGACAGCAAACATGGGCAGAAACCACAACATGGCATACACAAAGACACCCAAGACATAAGTACCTTAACTTGGCGGCCTCACCAGATCGTGGACATAGCCAAGGCGATCCGGACGACATGACAGAGGAGCCTCACACACCCCGAACCCCCATAACCCACACAGAGGGACAAGACAAGCAGGCCCCAGCCACCAAACAGGACATAGCCAACCTGCTGCAGGAGATGAGTGAGGCAGATGCATGCCGCGGCCATAGACTTACTGCGCACTGAACTGCAAGCAGTGACAGCCCGCACACAAGCCTCGCAGGAGGACATATTTGACATGAAACAGTAAGTATAAGGGGTTAAAAGAGCTGCTATAAGCCCAATCTACACTGACAACAAGAGTTGATCTGGCCGAAGAACGTAACAGACGCATCAACTTGAAGCTAAGGGGCATCCCCGACTCCATCACTGCAACAGAACTGCCTCACTAACACGCTTTTACCGCACTGCCAGACGAAGAATATAACATTTGACGGATTTTTCAGAATCAAAAAGCCCAAAAAGGCGCCAACCGCAGCCTCTCAAGACGTCATCGTCCAGTGCCAATCCCTGGCGGACAAGAATCAGATCATGGCTGCAGTTAGGGGTAAAACTACATTCACCTTTGAATCATCGCAACTCTCCTATCACGACCTGACAAGTAGGACCTTGTCGTGGCAACGTTCATTGGGCCCAGTAACACACCATCTACGAGAAGCGGGCATCGACTATAGATGGGAAACTCCCAGAACCCTAACCGTCAACAAAGCAGGCTCCTCATTAGACGAAGCAGATCCATTCCTCCAAGCCCTGGGGATAGCACCACAACCGAGGCAACCAACCACCTCCTCAGCCGCACCGCAATGGGACCCAGAAAGAATACGGCCCTTCGTCCCCAGAGGAAGAGTCGACAGAGGAGACCTGACTTAAAACCAAACTGACTCGGGCACCATATCGTGCCTACATACTCTACTCAAAACCACACCTTACTATATAGTTTCCTTAAGACCGGAGGGCGTACAATTACGCCCTATTTTAGGCGGCTCTAAACGCCGCCGGGCGTAATTGTACACCCTCTCCAGTCTTTTCTTACTTACCCGGTCGCCGGCAGTCCCACGCCGGCAATCGCGGTGGAGGGGGGGGGGGACGACTCCCAGGGAGCCCTCCAGCGGTAGATCCTCCTCCTCCGTTGCCCCCGGCCATGTGAGGGTGAGGTCCTTGCGAGGACCTCACAATCACATGGCAGGGTAGGCTGCCTTCTGCATTGCCAGCAAGGGGGCTGCCTGTAATAACAGGTGGTCCCCCTGCTGGCTGAAAATAAAATTTAAATAAAATTAAAAAGTGTAAAACAAAAAATTAAAAAAACAAAAAAAATTATATATATATATATATTACACACACACACACACACACTGTCTAGGTGTATTTTACTATTAATATATATATATATATATTATATATATTTTTTTTTTTAATAACAATTTACACGTAGACTGATACTGATTAAATATATAATTATTGTTTTATATATATTTATATATAATATAAAAAAATTTAAATATGTAAATAAAAAAAATAAAATTAAAAAATTAAAATATATATAGATGTGTGTTATTTCGTTCTAACTGTATTGTGATATTAACTAGAACGATATATATATATATATATATTTTTTTTTACACACACACCTATAGATTCACCTACGTATAGATATATACATATATTAATTCTACATATATTTATGTAATATTTTTAAATAATTAGGTATCTTAATTAATTACAATTAGCGGGACCTGCCTGACAACCCATGCCGAAAGTAAAGGGAATTTAATTTGCTAGCACTATATTTAACCCTATAACTTTCCAAGACACCATAAAACCTGTACATGGGGGGTACTGTTTTCGGGAGACTTCGCTGAACACAACAAATATTAGTGTTTCAAAACAGTAAAATGTATTACAACGATGATATTGCCAGTAAAAGTGACGTTTTTTGCATTTTTCATGCACAAACAGCATTACACGGACAATATTATTGCTGTGATACTTTTTACTGTTTTGAAACACAAATATTTGTGTTCAGCGAAGTCTCCCGAGTACAACAGTACCCCTCATGTACAGGTTTTATAGTGTTTTCAAAAGTAACAGCGTCAAATATAAGGCTTGCGTTTCATTTTTTTTCACCTTAAAATTTGCCAGATTAGTTACGGTGCTTTTGAGACCCTATGGTAGCCCAAGAATGAAAATTACCCCTATGATGGCATACCATTTGCAATAGTAGACAACCCAAGGTATTGCAAACGGGGTACGTCCAGTCTTTTTTAGTAGCCACTTCGTCACAAACACTGGCCAAAATTGGAGTTTTTTGCATTTTTCACACAAACAAATACTAACGCTAACTTTGGCCAGTGTTTGTGACCAAATGGCTACTAAAAAAGACTGGACATACCCCATTTGCAATACCTGGGGTTGTCTACTATTGCAAATGGTATGCCATTATGGGTGTAAATTTAATTCCTGTGCTACTATAAAGTCCCAAAGGCAACGTAACCAATCTGGCGAATTTCAATTTCAAATGTAACGTGCTATATTTGACCCTGTAACTTCCCAAAACGCCATAAAACCTGTACATAAGGGGTACTGTTTTACACGTGAGACTTTTCTGAATACAAATATGTGTATTTTATTGCTGTAAAAGCAAACAGTATTAAGACATTGACAGTTAAAATGTCATGTAGAACTAACAAAAACAAAAATATTAAATTATGTTTCATAGCGAAATATTTGATATTAAATGAAAGCCCTGTTTCCCCTGAATAAAATGATATATAATAAGGGTGGGTACATTTAATATGAAAGAGGTGAATTACGGTTGGACAGACATGTAGCGCAAATGCCAGGTTTTGTTTACGTTTTGTTTACATTTTGTTTCGTTCACAACGTGTACATTTGGCTCAGTCCTTAAGGGGTTAATCAGTTCTACATAGTTTTCACACGAGTTTTATGTTGACTGATGCATAAAAGCCTGCCACAACCAGATATGCTAAAAACCCACTCTCACACGATCCCACAAACCACGGAGTGAGCCCTCAACAGCTGAGAGAGACACAAACCCTTAAACACACAGACAAATTCCCGGGATTCCCATCATGGTCCAAAAAACTGAGGCACACCATCCCACACACAGGCCCCAGACAGCATCAACACGAATCAAACTCGACGCAGACCACAACCTACACCTCCCCTACAACCACTAGACAAGGCTGGTACCACTCAGGACCACCCATATCCACGACATTATAGTCATCTGCTGCGAAGTGGGACTCATGCCCCAGGCCCCTAAGCGACAAAGGGCGACTCAGCCTGGCATCACCTAGGCAACCACAGCCTAGGCCATAACCCTAGGCCCTCTACTATTCAAATTCAGCTAATTTCTCTGACTTGTTAATCTCGTTACCCTTGCCTCCCACATGCACAGGGGTAATTAAAAACAAGCTACACAATAGCCAAGGCCTGCATGCACTAATGTACGTATACCTCGAACCTCTAAATAACACAAATGTTTGCCCCCAACACACACCCAACAACGCGCAAACAGAGCACATTGCATGCCAGTAAGACACACAGAGATCAACACCAACAGTGTAGAGCCTACCTAATGAACTGACGCTACTTTAATGCCTTGTAACAATGTATGATAAACACGCATCAGACAATTGAAACATGACCGACCTTGCTAAACCACACACTAACATAAAATTGTGCAAGTATTAACATGTACCCCACTGTTACAACTGTTTATGAAAAAGTACGTGGATAGCCTTTGAGGTACCACATACGCGTTTTGTTTTAAAAAATAAATAAATAAAAAAACGTCCCAGAGAACGCATTAAATTATTTGTAAACCGAGGTCCCACTGTATATTAATATCAAAATACAGTTAGAACAAATTTAAACCAATATAATTTTTTCAATTTATTGATTGTGATATATATATATATAAAAAAAAATTTAAGTTAGTCTAAGTGTATTTTAATATATATATATATATATATATATATATATATATATATATATATAAATAAAATGTACTTTTTAAAAAAAAATTGCAGGCATTAGGAGGACTGCCTGAGCTCCCAGACAGACCCCAGAATTGTGATCGCTGGCGGGGTACCGCCAGCGATCAGGTAAGTACGTCTGCGGTGGTACCGGACTTTTTTGTCGGACGTGCCTGGTACGTCCATGGTCGGGAAGGGGTTAAATGCATGCATGTTTTATTTTGGGGTATATCTACTAAATTGTGATTATTTATTTCGCATTTGGGAAGTAGAACACCACAAGATTGTCTCATGGCACTCCCAGTAGCCGAAGAGACCAGCAGCATTAACATTTAAAATATGCAAAGGCCTCCGAAATTAACAGATCCACTTGAAATCTGCAATGTAAACGTTGCAGATTCTAAAATCTTAGGACTACTGCACTGAGATAGTGATAATATAAACAAGGAGAATGTTTTCATATATATATTTATATTATAAAAACCATCAAATTCACCACCACCAAGGTGTACTTACCTTAATTCAGCAAGGCAATGTTCCTAGTCCTGTTCAGTGTGTCCCCATCTGACGTCACTCTAGCCTTGCAGAGGTCCAAAACACATCTAGAGAGGATCATTTAACTGGCTCAGAAGGTATACCCGCCCTCTGAGCAGGCAAGTGTAGGGCGAGTGGGAGTGAGTGCATAGGAAGCAAAAAGGTCTGGATCAGATAGTAAGTTTACAATTAAGGAGGGTGGGAGGAGAGCAATCTCTGCCTGCACGGGGAAAAATTATGCCTGTTGCCAGCGTACAGTGCGTGCCAAGAGACGCATTTTTTTTTAATGCACAGAACATTAGGCAGCCCAAAACAGAGGTTTAGGCTACTTAAGTCACGTGTGCTGGGGGTGCAACTTGCCTTAGCAAACAATTAACAACATTTCTAACTGAAACACTGCACATCCAGACTCCTACCACCATGACCTCTTCAAAAAACAGAAGTGGTTGGAGTAACCCTTTAATGCAACGGTATACACAATCAGGAAATCCATTTTGGGGTTGTTGTTTTTTTACCCATTTATATTATACCTGCAGTCAAGCGTTATAATATCCATAATATAAATATCTTCTTACAGGAGGTTTATAATTTCCTTTTGTGTACAATCTGCCAAGCATGATTATGGACCAAGTTTGCTCAAATGCACAGCAATACCTTTACTATAGTAAGCAATGGTAGTCCACGTAAGAGGCAAGAGTCTCCTGAATAAAGAAAATTGACTTCAAATATAGCCAATGAGTATTTTGAACATTTAGGACAATATAGTCACGCTGACACTTATATACCTGCAAATTCAGTATATATGAATGGCTTTTCATCTTCCATCCTTAAGACATTAGAGGACGTTTAAAGGGTACTCCCACTAGTTTTTAAACACTTACCATTAGTGCAAAAGTTAGCCTTCCAGAGTTTTCTTTGCAAGTGCACACATGTAAGTACAGTAACAATCAGATGCAACTTCCTGTAACCTGAACTATCAAGAACGAGGCTCAGTAATGTTTGTGCAACCCATAGGAATTGGGAAATAATAGTTATAGGGAAACCATCACAGGGTTTTACAAAATATTGCTGACACTCACAAGCCAGAGGGAATTCAAGTATCAATATGCCCAGAGAGCATACCTTTGAGATTTCATCAATTAAACTTCTCTATGCAAATCCAAGATGAGGAGACCTATGTAACAAATGCATATTTAATTCTACAAGCTTATTTGCCCAGTCCACAAAGTTAGTCACTGTAATAAAACTTACTGAAGCCATCTACTAAAACATGACAAACAGGGAGTTCCCTGTTAATAGTGAGTTACCATACAAAGTAGTCCAGAAATATAGACCATTTACAGCTCAGCCAATAAATATTTGAACAGTGACAAATCTTGTTTTGTCTCTGCACACCAGCACATAGGATTTCAACATCAGCTTTCGTTTGGGGATCTTTACAGCAATAAATATTAAATTGTTTACATTTCTTCTATTTAAGATTATTAAAGAACAGGGCATTAGTCTATGCTATTGCATTTTAAGAACAGGCAACAGAGGATGCCTAGACTCTTATTGTAGAACTTAAGTGTCTGTTGTATTATCTCAACAGGATAAAAATTGACAGCCATATAATAAGACATTTCAATACTGAAGAATTCTTAGAAATGAGTGGTAAACAAAAATTACTTCAGCAATTATTAGTTTAAAGGACCACTATAGCACCAGGAAAACACTAGTTTTCCTGGCACTATAGTGCCCTCACCCTCAGGGACCCCCTCCCGCCGGGCTCTGGGGAGAGGAAGGGGTTAAACACTCACCTTTCTCCAGCACCGGGCAGGGAGCTCTCCTTCTCTCCGCCTCCTCTTCGGCTGAATGCGCATGCGCAGCCAGTCTCATAGGAAAGCATTTACAATGCTTTCCTATGGACGCTGGCGTCTTCTCACTGTGATTTTCACAGTGAGAATCACGCAAACGCCTCTAGCGGCTGTCAATGAGACAGCCACTAGAAGCGTTAGAAGCTGGATTAACCCATTTATAAACATAGCAGTTTCTCTGAAACTATGTTTATAAAAAAAAAAAAATGGGTTAACCCTAGCTGGACCTGGCACCCAGACCACTTCATTAAGCTGAAGTGGTCTGGGTGCCTAGAGTGGTCCTTTAACAAAAAGAGGGCCTCTAAAAATGAGGAAATACATTAGTATTAGTTTTCTTACCTTTGTAGAGTTCTGAGTCAAATAGAGAATAACACCCAGGTGATTGTTGAAAAAGGTATAGAGAAATATATTTATCTTACGATCCAAAGCTTATTGCACCCGTGAAACCTGGTGTATCTTGGATTGGTCTTATATACCTACCACTGGAAATTGATATACGTTGATTTCTGATAGATCTAAATCCCTTCAGTTGAAGCAGACAATCTGTACATTAACCCCTTAATGTTGATCACATATACAATGTGCTTGAGAACGGAACCAAACCAATTAACCTTAAAATCACTGAGAATACACTCAAATCAAAAACATGTAAGCAATAGAATATGTTTAAGTCACTTCCCAAAATTTTATTCCTGTCAGATCAGCCTTCCAAACGGAAAACAAATGAAGATTACAGTTTAGAGGGGATGGTAACTATAATGAAAAATTCCTCAAAACAAACAGTGTCGCTGTAAAACATCAGTATTTGGACTACATGTTTTGGGCTGTGGGGGGAGGGAGAAATCAGGAGAACAGAAATTAAATAAATACACCCCTGCTTTGATAGAACAACGAGCAAAGGATTGTACTTTATAGCTTGCAAACCTGCACAGTAACTTCCAATTGAACCAGGAAAATTTTGATTTCTGTACAGTAAGTAGTTCACTTATTTAAGTAGTTACATGAGTGTTTAAAACCTACTCCACATAGATTCAGTCTAAAACCGTGGATTTCCTTTTCCGGTGAACATTAATGTTTGGTTTTTCATCCATTCAAATACTTGATGGTTCAACATTATGTCTATTCACTAAGGCAAGAATTTAAAAACTTAGGACAAAATAGCCGAATCAGAAAAAAAAAAAAGTTAATTCTGTTTTTTAGTTTGGCCTTAAATTTGAAATTCACTTTGAATTACTGTCAATTCTCACTTTAGTGAATAATCCTACAAAGGCCAAGTGAAACCATTTTAAAGGCAAATAGACACAGAGCTGCAGGCAAAAAGGGCCAACATTGTACAGCAAATAGGAGTGTATGTGAAAGGTTCAATATACATTCCAGCGGACCATATAGAAGGCAAGGATTTATACATGTGTTTTAGTGTGTATAACAAATCCTCATCCATATACTGTCCACAGATGGTGCAAGGAAATATTTGGCTCTAAGGAAAACCTGATTATGCTCTTACTCATTTTAAAGAAGCAACCATCTTTAGTGAGAGATACTAGTGATGGAGTTATTTCACATCCTATAGCATCCAATAGTAGCTGAAATGCAATCCACAATAACCCTCACTAATGACAATCGAAAGTACCCGGCAGGTTGTGTCTGTATGGAGGTTTTGTTATTTAGCAGCAATGATTGTTAGGACCTCTTTGCGCTCTGTTTTGGGGTACAAATATTGGCAACATTAAGACATTTGGATAAGCCTTTAGAAACAGGACATATAAGTGCTTGGCTCATACTCCCTCTCCCAGAAAGATATACATACTTCCCTCCAAGTTTTTAGGATTAAGAAACAAAATAGGAGTTCAGCTACCAAGGTGGTTAAGTGCTTTTACATGTGCGTGCTGACAACGGCCTCAGTAACCAATTGCTTTACGTTTTAGACAAAGACTAATTGACAGACTTTGGTAAGAACCAATGGTAAACGTCAGTGCTTGAATGATTGGGAAGTATCGCCTTCCTCTTGCCCCATTTGACACAGAAATACAGCACACAGAGAGAATGAAGACTCCAGACAAAGTTAAACTGTTCTTTTTCCAGCCTTTACCAGTCAGTGGAACAAGGTGTGTCTTGTTAACTCTCTCCCATCATCGGTATGACACATATTCCACTAAGCCTTAAGCAGAGAGCACCGAGCGCTTTATATGTAAATATTTTGTTATTAAAACAGGACTGCAATGATATATAAAAAAATAAAAGCATTGACAGAAAACAGCCAGATAATTCTTCACAAAAGATGCTTCAGCATGCTGGTTGTAGAGACTTGTAAAGGATTTCAAGGCTTGCACTCAGAGCAAGGGTACCACCAATCTGTAGCTTTGGAGTGGTTTTGCAGTGGGACAGTGTTGGAGGTAAAAGGCCTCACACTAAGAACAAAAAAAACAAACAAAAAGAAAATACAGGCTGGAAAGAGATGTTAACAGTGTCTGGATTATCTCAGGGCATAATTTGGTTATTGGGCTTCAGTGCCCTGCCCTCCTTTCTTCCTGTCGTTTGGTGATAATGTATTTGAAGAACTCATACACAGACCATGCAATGGCTGTTGAGGGCATCTGATAAATGACCCTGGCCTGAACCCCTCGAAAGTAGGCAGTGACACCGCCTACTTGGTACACCGTCCTGAAGGCATTAGCCATGCCCGTGATATGTCCACTCATGTTAAGTGAATTCAAGGCCAGAGATTCCTGCGTGTTGAGAAGGGTCTTGCAAACGTCCAGTGGTGTTGTGACAGCAGCAGCCACGGCACCTGCGCAAGCGCCAGAGACCATGTGCGAAGATGGGTTATATTGTCTGTGAGGATTAAGATGTTCTTGAAGAAATTCGTAGGTCATGAAATGTATGGCCTGGAATGGGATGTTCATCGTTAGTTGGGTTGTGTAGCTTCTGTAAAAGGCACCGGCACCCTCATTCCGCCACACAGCTCTCATACAGTCAGTTACTCTCCGGTATGGAGAATTGTACATCTGCATTCTCTGCTTGATCACTTTTCAACATTTAATAATACATTTTTTAAAAATCCAAAGATCAGGAAGGAGGTCCATGTAATTCATGAAGATCCACCATTAACAGAATTAAAGGAGAAAAAAAAAAAGTTAGCATAAGCCTCACATATAGGTCTGCAATATAATAAATACTGATTTTTCTGCACACAAGTAATTTTTATCTAATCGCCATTTAAAGGACAGGTCAGAGAAACAGCAGGGTAAGTACAGGAGCAAAATGTATAAACACATATGCAATGCATTCAATATTTAACATGCCAGGTTTTCAAGTTGCTATAATCAACAGGGGGCTCCTGGCACTCAGGATCTGATCTACAGTCCTAGCATTTAAAGGATAAAAACTGCATGCACTTTTGGGAGATTTGGGAGCCCCAGCTGGCATAGTTGGGCACATGTTACGATAAGTATTTTAAAAGTCCATTATAATAACATTAAAAGGATATTCTAAGTGTCACAATCTATTCATCTTAATGAAAGGATTCAGGGCATAGACACTGCACCTGTAGCCTTGCAAATGAAAACAGTGCAGTTTCTGATAAACTAATGAGTTTACATTTTGCAGGTCTCACTCCTCTAGCGGTTGTCATTCAGACGGCTACCGCTTCGGACTAAAATAGACATTGTAAATAAATCTGTGACATCTGACATCAGGGTGACACCAGATGCTACATATGCTTGTAATGCTTCTCCAAGAGAAGCATTTGATTGTTTAAGCTTAAGGACTTCAAAGTAGCTTACAGGGCCCCTAAATCTAAATAGATAAAGGAACAAACTGTATTAAAAAAAATAGATATATATTTTAAATGCAGAAGCATTCATAACACAACACTTTAAAAGTTTAAGAAGTCACTGCAGTTTGGACTAGTGCTTAGCATTAAGAGATACTCACTCACGTTTTTGTAAATACATACAAGCGTATTTCTACACACCCCCAATGTCCCATTTAAATTATCAAAAAAAAAAAAAACAGGTCATAAGAATTAAAACTGAAAATGCTAACTTTTAAACTCACTAAACAATAATTAAAGAGCAGGTTCCCGTTGTGAATTTGTTAGCACTCCATTGCTCACCTTCAGCAGGATTCATAGCTGCGTCGTGTAAAAGTGTTGCAACACACCCAGCTGCTCCTGAAAGACAAAAACTATCACAAGTGAGGGAAGGTAATGCTAGAGGGAACAGAAATTACCACTAGAATACAGAACCATTAAAGTGTCATTAATGTCTTAATTCAAAGTGAAATCTCACTGGGAGAAAAGTTCAAATATGTATGTAAAGTTATGGAATTCCACAGTAGTGTACTGCACTGCACTGCTGCAAGGAACCTTGAATTGCAGAGACTCTGAATAGACGGGAGCAAAACAAACCAATTCGAAATTAATGTTGCATTCTGATAGGCAGGAAGCACCCCACACAGCTGGTTGATTAATAGTCAATATGCAAAGAGGAGGCTAAAATAAATAGCAGCCCCAGCTGGCAGACAAATAAAGGCTCCCTGAGCAACATACATGAAGGCATTTTCCATGACTTAAATTTCTGAACTTTTTCAGCGGTTTCATTTATATCAATAGGCACATTAGTATTTAAAAAGTCCATTATAATGAGATAAAAAGAATATTCTAAGTATCAAAATCACTTCATCTTAATGAAAGGATTCGGGGGCATAGACACTGCACCTGTAGCCTTGCAAATGAAAACAGTGCAGTTTCTGGTAAACCATACAGTTTACATTTTGCAGTTCTCCCTCCTCTAGGGGTTGTCATTCAGACGGCTACCGTAGGCTTCGGACTAAAATAGACATTAAGTAAATCTGTGACATCGGACAAAGGGTGCAGATATGCGGATACTAGATGCTGCATATGCTTCTCCAAGAGAAGCATCTGATTATTCAACCTTGAATAGATTACAGGCCCCCTAAATCTAGATAAAAGGAACATACAGGATTATATAAAAAAATAATAATGCTAAAGCGTTTAACACTAAACCCCTTAATGTTAAGTGGTCACTACGTTTTAGACTAGTGCTCAGCGTTGAGAGTGACAAATTGGTCCCTCTCAGTTTCTCCTACCCTTTTGTTTTTTAGCCAAACTAATTCTAGTAAGAGAAAAAAAGATGCTCAACTGGCCAGTGATGAAACAAACATTAGTTCAAATGTGAGTTAGAGTCAGGCACTTGGAAAGATATTTATAAAGGGCAAATTCTATTGAATGTTCTAAAAGTGAAGCAATCACTATGGAATCTAAAACAGCACACACATGCCGACTGCACCACTTTTATAAAAAAATAAAACTGTCCAGAACTAGTATTTACAAATAACCCTTAATGAGTGGGAAAATAGATTTGGTACTGGATAATACAAGTCATTCAAATAATAAAAATAACTATTGATAATACTTATACTTGCTGCCTATTATTCGTTATGGTAATAAGAATTCACCAAAAATGCACTAAATTCAGAGCAAACTGCAAATATAGCTGAACTGAAACATTGCAGACTTGAAGAATTTGTCACTTTTAGCTATAGTAACCTAAAATTTAAATTTTCCCCTTAACTTTCTCACAATTTACAGAATAAGTCTGATGGCATTTTACTAGCACAAGAAAAATAAATATTTGTTAAAACGGATTTAAACATTCTTATACCTAGTAAAGGAAGTGTTAAAATACAACTACAATCTCCTACTTTTTATAGGCCAGTGAGTGGAGAATATAAGATATTCTAGAGTTGAAATATATATTCAGTCCATGGAAAGTGGCAGGATGCTCTAAGCAGCATTAACATTACAGGTGTTTAATTTGCTTAGCATGGCTTGAATAACAGGTACAATATAAAAACACTGGATATTTATTCTGCATATAAAAAAAAAAAAAAAAAAGTGTCAAACTTTCTTTTACTGGCCCAAACTATTCAAGGGAAGTTTAGAGTTTTCCCATGGAACCTTTTTAAAAATCACAACTATCCCAGGCTGTGTGCATTATGTAAACAATGTTTTATCAAAATTTCTGAAGGATAATATTTAAGAGCAAACTAAATTCTAGGATTAGTATACTACTACCCCAATAATACCCAAAAGACTGAAATAAAGAGTAAAAAAACTTTGACAGATGCATATCCTGGGGTGGCCAAAGACAGTGATCATTCAGCACAGCAGACTTTTTGAAATAGCGGCCCTCAAATTCGCGATTTTCAGAGATCCAATGCTGGCATACAGCTTTGCGCCATTACAGCAGGCTGAACGGATCAAACCAAATGATGCAAAAAACAGGAGGCTGATGAATGTCTGTGTAGAGATGTTAGTAAGTCTGTAAGAAACATCAATGCCCCTGCAGTAGAAAGTCAAAGCAGTTATGCAAAGAGGAATGTATGTAACTGAGTGCACTGGTCGGCTTGAGATTATCAAACTTGTGATATTAAAAAGTTTATCTTTAATGGCTCCTGTGATGCACTGTCCACCAGCAAAAGATTTCTTTAAAAACAAAAAATATATAATCATGTGGAGTATAAAGGGCGGTTACGAATGGGAGGGGGTATCTGTAAACAATGCAATCATTGATCATTTTGCAGAATAGCTGCAGGCAGTCACAAGAAAAAGAACACCACATGATTTCCCCCCATCAGGAGTCTTATGAATACCTCCCTTCAAGTCATTTTGATTCAAAAATTAAGATAAAGTCCAAGTATCAAATATTGAGGTAGAATATGGGCAAAAAAAATAAAAAGGTCTTGGTAGGGATTCCATATATAAGTAAGGTGTAGCTAAGGGAATACACGATATTGGGATTTTTTTCGCCTATTTTTAATGATACCATGTAAATATCAAGGTCAATAAGTGACCATCCTTTCTTATTAGTAATCTATATTTACAAGTATTATGGAGGGCATTATACTAGTATTAGTTGAACCACCAAACCAAACGTTATGTACAGATTATGTAAACGGTACTGGTGATGCACAAATTTTTTTTATATTTTTTTTTTGTTTTTGTTTTTAAAAAGCTTTACCAGGAGTTTTAACCAATGTGTTACATTAAAAAAATAAAAATACAAAGCAGAAGTAACTGCATACATAACTAAGCTGATACGGTCCTTTAAAACCAAATATTGCTCTTGCAGGTGGAGACATCACTGCAAGTTGAACTACAAGATCACAACCATGCTTAACCTTTTTCTATCCTTAAACTGTGACCTTTGGTTAGAATATGACTCCAATATGGCTGGGCTTGCTTGGCAAAAAGTATAAAGGACAGGCAAATTTTTGGGAGGATAATAAGTGGGTAGTACTTTAAGGTGTGGTGACTGG